CACACACACACACACACACACACACAGTGACACACACACACACAGACAAGACACAAGACACAAGACAGAAACACCCATGCACATCTGCATATCTGTGAATATTCTGCTCAAGTAAAATCTATGAGGAGTTGATAGGCTGCAATTCATCAGAGATTTGCTTCATTTGCCCGAGTCATGCAGGGTTGTTAGCAACAGACATACAAGTTGTCCATGGGTGCGGATCACTCAATGACTTCAATTTGTGATTCATCACAAAGCCGATGACCGCATCCATGAAGCAAACARCAAAGGCCAGATGCCATGAAGTAGGGCCCGAAGAAAAGAATTGAGAATCTTATAGACAAATCTAGAGGTTAGATCGGGCGGACTGACYGTTGACGGGGAGAGCTTTGAATCCATTCTATCTCAACAGAACCGGGTTCATACAGAAAGACCGCAGGATACAGTGGCATATCACACGGAAGATCGGGAAAGGCAGCAGGATACTCTCCAATGTGATCAAGGTAGTCCTTCAGTGTTCTGGCAAAACTCAGCGATCGCTTAGTCATGTCCAATATCACAACCATAGCTTCGCCGAACTCTTTGCCCTGAAGCGAATCCAAAAATGTCGTTTCGCATTCATTGCCAACACTTGTTTCAAGGTCCCYATATAARAGCCAGCAGTCTCTATCTTCTKGCGGGCCAAAACCAGCCGCCGAAACAATGCCAGCGGCAAGAATGTCAGYCGATGTCTCCATAGAAAGCCTCCATATGTGCAAGCCACTGTAAAGGGGCAACTGAAGTGTTGCAGTGTTCATGTACTTCTCATGTCTAYGCTGAACTTGCTGTGGCAGCTGCTCTGAAAGCACGTAGCTGGATTCGGGATCWYGGGCMCATAGAGATGGGAGCGAGACCTCAGCATAAGCACGACAGATTTCACCTCCGGGTAATTTCACTGGTGCAAATGAGACTCTGGGACTTAGAGAACGCCACGGTGCTCTGAACAAAGACTTTGYCGACACTCCTCTTGACAAGTGTATGGACTGTGCTCTGTAAACTGCAGTGAGCACCTCTGGCCGCACGATTTGCAGTGGCTCGATGCTCTTTCTCACAAACTCAGGCTCAACAAACGCGAGGTTGATGTGACATTCCAATATTTCTTGCAAGTCGTCCTTCGAAAGTGACCATACGCTGACACTGTCACAGTTTTTCGCACCTCCTGAACAACCCGGCACTGCCGTCATTACGAAAGTCTTASAGTCCTCAGACCCTTCAGCAGTGCAATCCCCCTTGAAAGATSCATTCTGCGCATTCTCTCCCTCCGGAGTAACACTACCACTGCTGGAAGCGGCAGAGAGAACAGCCTCGGCCACCGACGTCTCCGTTACATTYGGATGGAATCGCACATTCTCGAGGCAGTACACTATGYTGTCTTTGTTCCACTGATGGAATGACGTCGAATCAAATACCAAAACCTTGTTCATCGCTTCGACGGCAGCCTTCAGTAATTCCTCGGCTTGCCTAAGGATCGCCGCATTTAGCAGATCTCCAAATTCACRTRCGTAAATGAGGTTTGGTACAAGAAGTAAGATCCTCTGGCATAAGAGATCGACCTGGTATTGCGCTGCCAGGCAGTACACGTCGAGCATTTCCTCCCAGCAACTGTCGGCGTCCAATCTCAGTCGATGACCATGCAGGTAACTGATCACAACCTGAAGACTGCTTGCCCTCGCAGCAGRGAGCGGTATTGTGTCCATCGAACTCTCCTTCATATCCCCATAAAGCAGYCGGAAGAAGTACTCGCTCCCACTTGCCAGTATTGCTCGGTTTGCCCGCACCTTTCTTCCATCTGCGCATACAAATGTCACGTCAAGAAATTCTGGACGACTAAGGATGATCCGGGCTGCAGACAAAAACTSTTCATCATGCTTTGCATCCTCGTCCTTTTCCACTAGAGGCGACAACGAGAGACGCAGGACGGCCTCTCTGTCACTCAGCTCTCTCTTTTCTTCTGGATGGGACATTCTCTGTGCAGAGCAGCTCTCCAACACTTCAGGTACAGAGCTTCTACTGGACGATAGGCATCCGCCCACGAAAGGAAGAAGGCGACCTACAAAGACAACATAGCAAACGACATGCCGAAAAACATTTGCACTRTTCCTTTTAAACCCACATAAAGGAACAAAGTTGTTGCCACCATTCCCGTTGAATYMAAGAATAGCTGCAAGAAACTGCGGTTATGCAGCACCAAGGAGTATACCATAG